CGAACAGAGGCTACAGACCACAGCCTCTCTGGAAAAGGCTGCTGGCTGGGCGGGGAGAGTCAGCGCACAGTCAGGAGTGTCTGGTACCACAGGCAAGGGACTAGGCTTTCCCCGCTCATCTTTTAGCTCTCCGGTCCTTTCCAGGTTTCCTAAATGCAGGTGTGCGCGCACACGCGCGAGCGCGCACACACACGCGCGCACACTCGGGCTCGCGCGTGCGCAAAGCGCTCTCCGACAGCCCCGCCAAGCTTCCCTTCCCCCTCGGAGGGCCAGATGCCCAAGTCGCCGAACAGGAAGAGGGCGGAGCCAAGGAGGAAAAAAAAAATGCCTCCACCCGTCAAGAATTTCTACCCCCTAATTTTCCCAATCACCATTGGGAAGGATGATCCGGGCGACCTGAGAGCCTCCCCTACAGCGAAGTTCCAACCATAGCACCGGCTAACCCAGCCACGGCTCCCTAAGCGTAGGGCCCACCCAGCACGTCTCCCTTTCTCCGTCTCTCCACCCAGGCCGGTTTCCCCGGGAAAAAATCGCGAGACTTTGCGAGACGTTGAGTGAAAGCCTAGGGAGTGGATGAAGAGGGAGGGGCAGAGAAGAGCCCTGCCCCTACCTCACGCAAATCGGCGAGTGGTCGGCTCTGCCCCACGGTAACGCGTAGAAGGAAATCTCGCGAGGCTGGAGCGCTCCGGGAGCGCTGGTCGAAGGCGGGTGAGCGGATGTTTCCTCCAGCCGGTGAGGGGGCTGAGCCCCGCCGGCCTCCAGCCGCCCCTCCGCTGCTTCTGCACGGTTCTGCGTCTGCTCGCTGAACAGGCTGAACAGGGTCGTGGAGTCTCTTCCCTTAAGTGCACAGTGTGCCGGCTGGCAGAGGCTTTGAGTCCCAGTTGCCACAGCTGACGGCTGCGAGGGACTGAGAGCCGAGTAAGTGGGACGGGAGCGGGTGTCGGCGAGTCAGAAGCTTTCTTTGCCCGGGCCGCTCCGCCGCCTCGCACCGCTTGAACTACCGCCGCCCCGCCCTGGCCGCTCCTTCTGCGGGCTCCCCGCACCTGAGAGCCGGACTTCCTGTCCCCGTCCTCAGCGCTCAGCAAATCTTTCCGGAGCTGAGGTGCGGGAAGTTTAGTGATGAAAAGCCTGGGTCCTAACCCTGTGGCCACACCTTCTGTATCTGTTTCTTTCTGCTTTACCCATCCGGGAGCTCCCCAGTGGTGGGGGGGGGGAGGAAAGAGGGACCCTTTTCAGTCTTCTGTTTAGCTCTTTGCAGCATTTTGACACGGATAACCATTCCCTCTTTCTTGAAACTGCCCTCCGTGGGGTATTACTCTCTCTGATTTTCTTCCTGCCTTGCTTTTGTATCCCATCTCTGTTAATGGCACCAATATTCGTCCTCCTATCCAAATTAGAAACCTAGGAATCACTATATCATTTCTTCTTTCACCAGAATTATTGCAGTCCGTCTCCCTCCACCCCCCTCCACTGGTTTCCCCACCATGACCCTTCCATAGAGTTATTCTGAAATACATATGTTTATGTCTCTCCTTTCCTTAAACTTTTTCAATAAACGTACTGCTGATAGGATTAAGCCCTAATTGTTAAACTCATCATTCAGGACCTTTTACAATCTGTCCCAATCCATGTTTGGTCTCATCTTGCTTCTCCGAATACTTTAATGTCCAACCGTACCAGACTACTATATGCCATGCATTTTAACAGCTCTGTGCTTTTGTATGTGCTGTACCAACTGTCTAGAAAGCTACCTGTATCTTCCTTGTTTTACTTCCTATCAGTACCCAATTTATAATCATTGTCTTAGACTCCCCCAGGTGACATTGATAATACCACTTTGTTCCCAAAGCGCTTGGAACAGTTCTTCTGCAGTATTTATTAGGTTGTATTATTTGTTCACCTATCTGTCTCTCTTACCAGTTTGAACTTGAGTCTGGCTGGAATCATGTCTTATTCATCTTTGAAATAGAAGCTAGTCCAATGCTTGGCACATAGCGAGCATTATTTATATATACATATGTGTACATATTTATAATGTAATAGTTATAAAGAATTCATCATAAGAGTTCTTAGTCCATTAAAAATCATAGAATTTTAGAGCCAGAAGTAACCTTGTATTTTAGCTAAAGAGCTCGAACCTGCTTTGAATATGAGGAACCCTGCACGCCTAATACTTTGTTGATTGAGATCATGTATCCTGGCAAACTAATATGCTTTTAAATGATTTTGTATTTTATTATACTAGTATCTGTTTATGTTTGAGAAGTAGTGGGATATTATGTGACAGAAATATTTTAAAGTACAAACAGTACTTGGTGTATGTGCATTCGTGTAACTCTTCACTGACTCCTTGTCCATACGTTAGAAATAACTGGCTTAAATTAGGTTAGTTCCTTCTTGAATTGTCATAACTATTTGAACATATGTATGTGCAATTTATATTTAACCACAATTCTAAGGGAACATGTTTACAACACTATTCTAAGGGAAGTTTTTAAAAAATCCTTTATTTCTGTTCTTTCCACCTTTAAAAATTTATTTTCTTCAGAAAGCTGCTTCATAAAGCTCCGAACGTGTTCATTCCACCATTTTCAAGGACAGTGAAAGTTTTCTATTCTCATATACAATGATAAGTCAGTATAAGATGCTTATTTTTATATGTGATTTATATGCATTCTTTTATGATCTAAGATTACATTTCTATAAAAGCCATATCTATGCCTTTTTATTTTTCTATTTCCATGTGTCAGTTAATGTTATCTACTAATTAATATTAGAAGCACCTGCCTGAACGATAAAAAATTTTAAACTAGAGTGTTGTCATTTAAAGACACATCTATGATATATAAGTAGTCACCATATTTCTATGTAGGTCCGGCTATAGGATAGTGGATTTGCAGATAAAGGAAACAGAAGAGTGACTTGAATTTCTTTAACTTTGTCTTAACCAAAATCTAAAAGTGAACAGCTGGCAGTTGCTGTCTTGGGTGGGTGGTGGTTTATCGTTTATCAGCAGCAGAATGTTCTTAACCTTCTGCCAAGACTCTGACTGCAAATGTCTATGGGTGGTAAAGTGGGCGAGAATTCAGAGAAAAACAAAAAACTTGCTTTTAAAAAAAATTTCACCTATAAGTTGGGCCTACCTACAGAAAAAAATGTAAGTGTATTGTGGCTAGTTAAGACAGGCACTATAAAAATAGGCAGTAAATTCGGAATACTCCTTGTTTACTGGAGTCTTTTTTAAAATTTGAAACTTGTTAGAGTTTGAAAAACAATCCTCCAGTCCACTTACTAGCCAAAAGAAAGGGGGAGAAGCACAATGGTTTTTTGTGGCAAAATACATGCATATTATAAAATATTTTAAACTTTTCTGTGGTTTCACCCAGGAAATGAATGTGCAGATTCTTAAAAGCTGTGTTACTGTTTTTCTGAAGTGCTGATAAAATTATGCTTTGAATTACCTGCTGTTTGTAATTCCTTTCCCTGAATAAATGTGTTTTTATAGTTACAGAACAAATTTTAAACGTAGTTCTTTTTGATAATTGTATTCTATTATGCAATCTAGAGAATGTTTTTGAAAGTGGATGTTAATTACAGTTTTTAAAAGCCTATCAGTAAACATTTATTGATCTTATGTGATGCCTTATTAAAAATGGTTGCCAGATTTTTATTAGTTACATGGGAAATATTTGAAATTTTGTTATAAAAAAATTTTTTTAATACACATTCCCTTTATTTTCTATGCCTGGCTTGAAATGAAAATATATCTTGAAAGTTTCATGTGTGGGATAGGGTCAGGGAATTTGCTTTGTTTTCCACCTATGGAGATTGAAATGGTTTTTATATAGGTAAAAGCAAACAAGGCCCTGGGGATCCAGCTTGGCTCAAGAATAGAACACTAAACTAGAGATCAGAAGTTCTATTTCTGGTACTAGCTTGGCACCTTCCTTGCTTTGTGATGCTGTCATTTGGCTCCTTATATTTGAAATCCCTTAGTCTATTTCCTCTTTGGTAAAATGGAAATAACACTTGTCCTGTTTCCCAAATGACAATATGAGGTAATATTCCTTAAGTTCAGAAAGTTACCAAACGCTTGAATTAATTAAAATTATTACCTAGCAGTTTGATTTTACTCTGGAGTACTCTCGAGATCCATTTGGACTGAATTAGGCTGGAGAGAAGGCTAAGAATAGGTAAAGCAATTTTGAAGAAGAAAACATTGACTTGCAATATTACATAGCAAGAGTTCATTTTACAGCTACCTATATTACAGTTGAGGCAGGGTGGTAATCATGTAGAGATAGATAGCCATTTTAATAAGGGTGTGGAGGATTTCATGGTTTTAATTGCATTTCTCTAATGACTAATAATGTTGAACATCCCTTCACGTGTTTATTTGCTATCCATATATCTTTTTGGTTAAAGTCTTTTGCTCATTTTTTAATTGGATTGTTTTCTCATTGTTAGTTTTGAGAGCTTCTTCTTTTTTTTTTTTGTCTTTTGTCTTTTTCCGTGTCCGGCAACGGATCGCAACCCTCAGTGTTGCCCCCGTACCGGACCGGGGACCGGCAACGGGATCGCAACCCTCGGCGCCGCTCCCGCGCCTCGCTCAGCCAGTGAGCGGGAACCGGTCTGTATGTGGGATCCGAACCCTCGGGCGGGAGCGCCGCCACGCTTCCCAAGCGGCGCACTATCCAGTGCGCCACCAGGCTGGCCGAGAGCTTCTTATGTATTCTAGATACAAGTCCTTTGTCGGATATGTGATTTGGAAGTATTTTCTCCAAGTCTGTAGCTTGTCATTTTATACTGTCTTTTAGCAGTGTCTTTCCCAGAGCAAAAGTTTATTATTTTGATGAAGTCCAGTTTATCAAATTTTTCTTTTAAAAGTCACACTTTTGGTATCATGTCTAAAAGATCTTTTCCTAATCCCCGGTCACAAAGATTTTCTCTTTTTTTTTTTTTTTTTTTGGTTGCTGGCTGGTGGCTATGTTTTCTTCTACAAGAATTATCATTTTTAATTTTATGTTTAGATCTGTGGTCCATTTTTGAGTTAATTTTTGTATAAAATGTGAGAATTATGTTGGGATTAATTTTCTGGCGTGTAGATGTCCAATTCTTCCACCACCAATTGTTGAAAAAATTAACTTTTCTCCTTGACTTGCCCCTGTACCTTTTTCAAAGATCAATTAGCCATGTTTCTGTGAGCCTCTTTCTGGGCCTTCTGTTATATCTACATCAGTACCATGCTGTCTTGCTTGCTGTAGCTTTGTAGTATGTTTTAAAATTTGTTAGTGTGATCTCTCCAACTTTATTTTCAAAATTGTTTGGCTATTCCGGTTTTTTTGCATTTCCATAGTAGTTTTAGAATTATGTCAATTTCTGCAAAAAATCCTGCTGGGGTTTTGATTGGAAAGTGTATTAAATCTGTAGATCATTTGTGGAAAACTGACTTCTCTGCTTTGTTGAGTTTTCCGATTCATGAACACAGTATGTTTCTCCATTTATTTAGGTCCTCATTATTTTTTTTAATTAGTACTTTGTAGTTATCAGTATACACATCTTCCATGTGTTCTGTTTCATTTATGCCCAAGAATTATTATTATTATTTTTTTAGCTATTGTAAAAGTGTGGGCTTTTAAAAAACTTCTGGTTTCCAGTTGTTGCTAGTACATAGAAAAGGATTGATTCTTGTGCTTGTATCCTATGACATTGCTAAAATTGCTTATTAGTTCTCGCACTTGTTTTTTAGATTTTTTTAGGGATTTTCTACATAGACAACAATGTTGGCTCTGAGTAAGGGCAGTTTTATTTCTTCTTTTTTAATCTGTATGCCTTACTTTGCTTTTTCTAGCCTTACTGCACTGGTGTGTTGAACAGGATGAGTAGCTAAGGATATCATTGCCCTGTTCCTAATTTTG